AATATAATAAAGAAAGTATTAATGAATTTGAGGGTCAATGGAAATTTTTCAAACTGACACACTCAAGAAAAATAAATTAACAAAGTCTCGATGATCTGAGGAAAAATATCAAGTTATCTAATATAAATGCAACTGGAGTTTGAGAGTGGAGAAGAGAAAAAATGGAACCAAAAACAAGTAAAAGAATCACAAGGAAACTTTTCTAAATTTGATAAAAACCAGCATACAAATCCAGGAAGTTCAGTGTAAATAGGATTCATACAGTGGTAACCACACCTAATTTGTCTATTGTAGTCAAACTGCTGAACACCAAAGATACATGAAGGCTTAAAACAACTAAGGAAAAAAAAAAAAGGCACATTGTGTTGTACAGGTAAACTTCATCCAAACCAGTAGAGGAGTGGAAGCCAGAAGATAATGTAATGACATCTCTAAGGTATGGGAAGAAAAGAATTTTATGACCAGAAAATTTTATCTACAAAAATGTGGGGATAAAAAAGTTTCAAAAAAGATATTTGGGGACTAAGGGGTGTAACTCAGTGGTAGAGCTCTTGCTCAGCATATGAGAGGCCCTGGGTTCAAACCCCAGCACACTACACACACACACACACAACACACACACACACACACACACACACACACAGATGTACAAAAGGCCAATTGTAAGCATTGACAATAAAGTAACATAATTAGTCATTAAGCAAATGCAAATTAAAAGTCATTGACTTCTCTTCCTATTCATTAAAATAGCTAAAATTAAAGACAGAATCTTAACTACAGTATTTAATATATTAGACTACAAGTATGCTGAGGTTCAGATTTAGGAGTCAATGATTCCTTATAAATGCTATTAAAGTCACAATAGAAATRTTCATGCAGTGGTTTTTGAAAGAGAGAAAAAAACAGAACTGAGGTCAAACTGCAAAGATTATCATTTAAGTGATGTGTAGCAGGAGAGGAATTCAGGAAAATATTTTTTTWAAAAAGGCAAACAATTATCAATGTTGGCTAGAAGGTGGAGGAAGTAGAATTTTTAATACATGTTTACCATGTTGCAGATGGTACAGCTACACTGACACATATTTAAAATTATACTTACATATACTTATCCTATGATATGAAAACACATGTTTACAAACAGAGGTGTACATAAATATTCATAGCAGCTTAATTCATGCTTTTCAGTAACAGAAATACCACAAATGTTCCAGAATAAAAGAATGGATTAAAAATGTGATATATAGTCCTACAATATAATATTGACATTGAAGCAGAAGCGTGAGTGAATCACAGAGGCATTAAGTTGAGTAGAAGAAACCAGGACCAAAGAAATGCATAAATAAATAAAATAGGCAAAGTTAACATATTTTGATAGAAATAAAAGAAGAAATTGCTTAAAATAAGAGTAAGGAGATTAGATTGACCAGAAAAGAGCAGGAAGAAATTTATGGGGTGTTAGAATTGTTCTCTTTTGATGGGGTGGTTATTATAAGGTATATATATTTATTTAGACTTGTCAAACTGTACAATTCATTTATACATTTAAAGTATTATTAGGTTATGATGAAAGATTGGATATGGATGTGTTAAAAAGGTAAATGGAAGCACCATACAACTTTTAAGAGTTTATTTTAGTGAATAGCAATTAATGAATTAATTGGGTAGCTCCAAACCATAAGTGATTTGGGAGCTTCACTGAGGAATCACAAGGGGGAGGATCTACTTTTCAATGTCTCAGAGTTAAAGCAAAAACATTAGTTACCAACACACAGTTGCCTTATTTGGTCTATCCTATTGCATACTCACTCTGTGTTTGTTGGTGCTTCTGATTGATTTCTGAATTTCTGTTTTGCTTTAATATAAGCATTAATAAGAAATAGCTCAAGTTGTTTGGCTTATGATTGCAAATCAAGCAAGGTTAAGTCACCATGAGGCCTAAAGCACTTTGTCTTCTTGGAGATTCTTCACATCTCCTCTCCATTTTAATTCAATAACAGATGTAATAATGGAGGTGAGGTCATGCATGGATTCTGTATTATAGTGTAGAACTAATGCTGTTTAAATTTAGATAGGAAGAACCCAGTGGAGAAAGGTGGATAGGGAAAGTTTTGAAGCTCTATTGTGAATTACAAAGTGAAGGCAATGTATTTTATTTATTTAGTTAKTTATTTATTTAATTTGTGATTTTTAGATATACATGACAGTAGAGTGTATTTTGACATATCATACATACCTGGAGTATAACTTCCTATTCTTATGGTTGTACATGATGTGGCATTACACTGGTCATGTATTCATGTATGCACATAGGAAAGTTATGTCTGATTCATTCTACTGTCTTTCCCATTCCCACCCTCCCTCCCTTCATTCCCCTTTGAAGTAAAAGCAAAGTTGAYTTTTAGAAAAATTATTCTACATAGAATTTTTCTGGTCATAACCTGTTCAAAATATAATTGCTTCTGCTTTGTTTTAATTTGGGCTGGGAGAGAGGTGGGTTGACAGGGTTAAGACAAACGAAAACCATAGTTTGTTGCAGGTATTCTGGTGCTGTTTCCATGAGCTTCACCTCTTGTCTTCCTACTTTTAGTAGCCAAAATGATAGAATTTAAAGCTCTTTCATAAAATATTTTGGAAACAAAGAACATTTTATTGACAGTGATTCTAATATTCAGGTATTCAAACCTGATTTTTGCAGATGAATACTTGAACAAAACATGTTTCTGTAACAGATTGGTATAGAACAGGGATTAGTAGTTTATTTTCAATCCTTGAGTCATTCAACTGGATCAGTTAGAATTTTCCAGGGTAATAATGGCCTGTTAATATTTCCTAGAATAAATAAATGAGTTCAACATATTTGGTTTGATGCTAATGCTTTCAACAGAATATTTATTCTTGATAAGCTTCTGAGAGTTTATTATTAATATATTATTTTATTTATGTCATACTTATTTGTTTCATGCCCTTATATAATTGACATTGCATTTATATACTCTCCATATATTTTAAAAAATGATCTCCAGAGAGACAGAATAATATAAATATGAATACATAGAAAACTACTGGYTTATAGAATGGAATTATGCAAGCTAAGATTAACAATCTGCCCTCTGCAAATCCAAGGCCCAGGAAAGCTGGCTGGGAAGTACTAGTCCACACCCAAAGTACATCCTGGTCCCAGCCTGAAGGACAGAGAACTGGGTATGCCAATGTTTAACAGTATGAGAAGATTCTTGCCCTAGTTCAAGCAGAAAGTGCAAATTTGCTTTTCCTCTACCTTTTTGTTCTAGTCAAGCCCTTAGATTACATGATGCCTGCTCMCAGTTGTAAGGGTGATCTTTACACTGTCTACTGATTTGAATACTCTTATCTTCCWAACATCCTCACAGAACCATCCAGAAATAATGTTTTACTAGTCATCCAGTTAATCTTTAGCTATTTCAAGTAGTTCTTTCAGAAATAGGGAAAGTTAAATATTTTTATATCTAATTTATACCTGAGAGATCTAAGATTGTTTAAGAAACTTAAAAGTTCAAGGAAAAATCTGATGAAACCCCAAATCAGTGCTCTCTTCTCTATAGAATGCTGCCTAGGCAGACTAAGCCTATAACTTCCTGGGAATTTATCCTTTTGGAAGAGGACATCTATTTCTCTATGAAGATGTGTTATATTGAGAACATATATTTCACAACATCTGGTTTTCATAAGGAAAAGCAACAGAAGGAAGCTAACTGAATGTGTTCAGGAAGAAATAGAGAGGTGATGACATATGAAAGCTAGGGACATATTTAAGTTCATCAGTCTCAATCACCACACCCATCACAAATCAATTGACAGTATATCTTTATTCTCATGAATAATACAATTTTCCAGAGTCATCCTTTATTAATACAATTTTCCAATTGATTTAATGATATTAGCTTTGTTCTTCATGTTATTATACTTCAGATTTTGTAATGATAGACTATTTGAAAAGAAATCAAGTTTTGGGAATATAGAACTTACTGCATAATTGAATAACATATTTAAATACTACAATACCATTTGTAAGTAGGACAAATTCAGGAGAAGAGTGAAGATATTTTGCACATTTCAAAGCACTGATACTRGCATTGAGGAAGCTAATAGTCTAAATTGACATCCAGGGCACTGCTGCATCTTTTTCTCTGTAAAATAAGGTAGAAGAGCATGTTGGTATCATTAGAATGGTTTGTGTAAATTTTTCTAGATGTTTGTAAATTGTTTATTAAAGAACTAGAAAGCTTTACGTACACTGGTATTGATTTCACATTAAGCAAAGTCAAGCTGTACTGAAATCTCTTTATTATTTCTGACTAAATAAACTGACTTGTATTGTGCAAAGTAGTACCTTAATGAGAAGGCTTTTTAAAGAGATATGGATAGTACTCACTCCTGATGGTACTATTTTTTTATCTGAATGCTGAATATTCTTTTTCATGAAAGGAGGGATCAGAAGAGACTCACAGGCAKCAGGAAGGAGATTTCAAAATATTTATCTTTTGTTTTTCATTTTGGGTCAAATAGTTGGATTTTTCATGTGTATTTTTACTTTTTAGTGTCATTCCACTGCTGCCCTTCTATCAAACTCCCACTGTAGCTACAACAGCCAACCAAGCTCATTGAGACAGGCAATTAATCAATTATGGTTTGCTAAGGACATCAAAACTGAAATTTCCTGGTTGTTATGAAATTTCTTTATTATTTTGAGATTTTGTTTTACTTCAAGCTAATATTGGCATTATTAAAATGCTTAGCTTGCAAAGTGAAATGAAGTGGGAAAACTAATTCAATATAGTCAGGAGTCAATATTAATTTTTAAAAATTGTTAAAAGTCTCATAATTATTATGTTTTTGTAGGTAGAAATAAACACTAGATTTTTTTTCAATAATCATTTTGTTAAGAATTTTTTATTAGTTTTTTTGATGAATGACTTTTGGCAAATACCTACCCCAAATTTCTGAATGCTTAAAACAACATCTTATGGTTCTCTTAGGTTATCAGTCTTGGCCTAGTGAGAAAAAGGAATTCCATAAGAAGCTCATATTAAATTAAAATTAAATTACAGTCTGATTAATTGATTAACTGTTAGTCAGAAGTGATTGATTGACACCTTATTGAGGCTTCAGACCATATACTCTACTATAGTATTGATTATATTGTTTTTGTCATATTTTTTATTTGTGCACTATAGTTGTACATAATGATGGATATGTTGTTGCATATCTGCATGTGAACAAAATATAACCATATAATTTGGCCAATATCACTTCCTGTTTTATTGTTATTTTCATGACTGAGTCTGTAAATGAAGTACTAGCTTAATGTTTTCCATTACACAGAAATTTCTCATGTTAAATGAATCTTTGGATACCCTACCTTCTCTTCTGGAAGCACTGAGGCAATAGTTGGATTTAGAGCAGAAGCAAAAGCCTTGGTGTTGCTGGGTGTTGGTGAGGTGGAAGGCATGAAAGCTCCTGCACTGTCATGTCTAAATTTTATCACTTCTTTCTGTAAATATGGTAGCACTCCTCCTCCTGGCTATAGAAAGAGAATGAAAATAAAATGGTTATAGGTTCAAGTAGGACATCAAAATTGGGAAGAATATAAAGCCACCGGTTGAGTTAAAAAGCAATAAATAAGGCCTTTATTGGTTTTCTGTATCATAAACTATTTTTAGCAAGATTATGAATATATATAGTCTACAAATATGGTCTCTTGATACTGCTTTTAAATAAGGGTAAACAAAAGTGACTGGAATAGATTATATTTGAGGAACGGACTGAATTGAATCCTGACTAGCAAAAGATTATAGAAGAAGAACCAATAATTGTTGATGGAAATATAATAAAGTTTATATTGAAACAAACATTAGTGAAGGAACCTACAAATCATCAGTTGTTGATTTCCAGTTGTTAGCAAAGTGTTGTCAAGAGTCTTACCATCACAACAGTTTCAGGAGCTGTGCCTAAGAGGGTATCAAGAGCCAATTGCTGTTGTCCTCCTGGTACACCCTGAAAAACCAGAAAGTTTTAAAAAGTCTAAACTGTGGCACTTAAACATATTCGGCCAAAGCATTTAAATGCTCCCAACTTCTTTAATTATTTTCTTAAAAGTGTAGCAAGGAGTTTAGATTTGAGAAAGAGAGATGTTAAGTGCTTATATTAGAGCCCTAGCTGGATACCCAGTTCTGCCTCACTTCTGGAAGCTCTGCTTCCTGACATTCCTGCTAGGACCTGGTGTTCTCTTGATGAGCATAAACAATCTCAGGACACCAACACCAGAAAAGGTTGTCTCTGCACTTGATGAAATTAGAAAAACAAGACAACTTTCTAGTCTTGCTGAAAGCAAGGTTACTGTGCAAGTCACAAAAGTACCTGTGTCCTCACAGCCTGGAAAATACTATGACTGTTGCTCATTTACCAATTATAATCTTTGCCTTGGCTATATTATCCTGCCTTCTGGGTAGGAATCCTGAAAGTATTAATCAAAGAACTTCTTGACTATACCCACTTCAGAACAAACTCTGAACTCTCTCCTAGACATCTAATGTAAATCCAAGTCCTGTGAGTTCATGCTCACAACTTCCTATGAAGATAACCTATGGGTCTCCTGTGTGTTCGCCTCATTAGCAATGTGTGGATAAATCCAACTTTGTTCAACTAGAGAAGTGTTCCTGGTGATATTTAGCTGAAAGACAGTTATATATTTAATAAATAATTAAGCAAATGGTTTCAAAGGATTTTTTAAAAAGAAAGATATCATCTACTCACAGGTTCTTCTTGTTGCGGAATATATTCAAATTGAGAATAGAATGGCATCTGTTGGATTTTTGAAACATGCATTAGTTTTACTAATGATTTTTGTTACAAGTTTGTGATAAATTATTAAGATTACATTTTTATACTAATTAAATGCTCTTTTAAAAACTTCGTGTTTCAGTTGGTAATAATTATTAAATTAACAAGAATCCTTTTAATACTATATTATTTCTAGGATAAAAACTCTCTTTAAAGTAACATGATTGAATTAGAATTAGTATCGCCAGTAATTTAAAGTATAATTTTCAGTTTTCTGCAATTTGTGATGACAAATTTTAAAGTGGTAATTAAACTATTAAAAACGACATTTCCGTTTTGATTAAAAGAATGCTAGTTACGCATGGGCCACCCAAATTTACAGTGTAATTCTGAATATTCACTGTAGGCTCACAAAATTAAATATATTTATATCTTATTTTAACTCAAGATCTAGTGGTCAAGAGATATTTCAAGATTGCTATTATTTTTATTTTATTATTTTAAGTAATAACTATATGATGCATATATATAGATAAAGGTGGATGCTAGCAGATTTTAAAGTAAGAAAACTTCATTTTCAGAGGTGATTCAGCTTTTGGCCTCTGGTTTTATTAGAGTTCACTGACTTAATTAATTTAGAATCCACTCATTTAGAATCCATATATATATGTATGTGTGTTTGTGTGTATATATATATATATCCTCTTTTATATCCTCTTTTATCTACCAGGTCAAGCTGTTGATTATTTGCATTTGATTGTTGCTTTTCCTCTGAGAATTTGCCTTAATCTGTATATTCTCAGGTAGAACTGGTCAGATAAGTCTTAGGATGTAGCTTAGTGGTAGAATGCTTGCCTCATATGCAGTAGGCCCTGGGTTCAATTCCCAGCACTGAAAAATAAATACATAAATAAATAAAGTTGAAAAAAAATAAAAATAGGTAAAACACTCTCAGTACCTGTTCCTCAAATTTTTGTTGCCCTGTTTGTTGGGGTGACTGAGTGACTGTTTGTTGAGGTTGTTCCCAGGGTAGGAGCATGTACACCGGATAGTATTGAAGCATCTATTTATAATCACAGAAGCATATAAGAGATTCTATTAGATCATCATATGTCATACTTTTAATCTTCTAATGTCAATATTATTTTAAAGTGGTTTTATGTACAGCAGTTTCATATTATTAGGTATGAATAAAAGAATAGATAAACCAGTTCTCCTCAAGATTAAAACTTAAATCACACATAATATTGGACTTTATTTTTAAGATTACTTAATAAAACAATTTAGGATATAGCAGATTCAACAAGAGAGGCCTTTTAAAAATAAAAGTATATCTTAAAAACTTTAAACACAAATTAGTTTGCAAATACCCAAGAGGAGGATAACCTATGCTACATTTTCCTAATATTTTTGAGGATCATCATTCTAAAGGACATGATATTAAAAATCCTACYATATGAGTGAAAAAAAWTATTCTTTATTAAATTATTATAAAATGTAACAATTGCCACTTTATTAAAATAATTCATATGCATTCATGATATTAGAAAAATCTAATAATAGACAAGTAGCAAAATACCCATCACCCACCTTATCATGTATCGGCTTCCACTTATTCTTCTTCATGCATATCATAGTATATGCATAAAGTTTCTATTTTTTTTTCTTTGCATCATTAAATAAGTGATTATATTAGACATGAAATTTCAGAGCAATAAGCAATGGTGGTTCCAGAGGAGTATATTTTGTAAAGTGGTTCTTAATCCATGCTAAGAATCAAAATCCCCTAATTGAGCATTTTGGAAGATAAACATGTTTGTCTTCTAATTGCAGGTTTTGATTTATTAAAGTCTATGATAGGGTTTGGGCATTTGTACTTTTCAGAATTATCACCAGTGATTTTGATGTAAAATTAGGGTGATGAGCCACAGGTTTAGTGGTTAAAAAAAGGGTGGAGAATTACATTCCAACTCAGCTATTTACTTCATTGGGATTGGAAATTGAATCTCATTAAGATTAACTTTCCTAATCTTTCAAATGAAATAGTTGTACTTGTCACATATTTGACTCTAAGTGCTTCTGACATAGAATGAGATAATGTCTAGAATTAAGTTCTGTTTTGCAATGGGAATGGGGTGAGACAAAGTCACATAATTGTAATTACAGAAGAGCCAAGTAGTGTAACTTTTGGTAAAAAGATTAGTCCTCCACTGGTGAATGATATAATTTATCTATAGTCCTGTTTCTTTGAACTCCAGTATTATAAATTATCCTAACACTGACAGAATTTTCCATATTAATATAATTATTCTATTAGTTTACATTCATTTAAAAAATTTCTCTTATTTAGTGGAACTCATTGATTATAATATTGAGTCAAACTGGAAATCCTGCATGTGAGGACCTGGATATGTTTTCAGCAGAATTTAATTACCAATAATATAGAAAAATGTTTCTTATCTCTACATCATACCATATATTATCAGTTTAGTAGGTGTGTGTTTTTATAGCTCTGCTCTAGGAGAACTAGAAATATGAATGCATCTCGTTTTTGCAACAACACTTAGAATTGTGCATTCATCCCCTGGATTTCTTTTTCATTTTTTCTTAAATGCCAGTACTTTAGATGCAGAGAGGGCATCCGCTGTGGCTTAGTGAGTTTCTTTATCTCCAATATAGCAATCTCCTGAGAATTCAGGAACCCTAGAGATTCTTTTAAGCTGCCTGTTCTTAACTTGCAAAGTGAGCCCATCATCAACAGAATAATGCCAGTTCAACAATGGTTGTATTTAGACAGAATGAGACCATGGTGTGAGTGTCTATAACCAGGCTATCAGAGAGCTACGGAATAAAAGAAAATATAGTGGAGGGTATAAGTAGCCACCTGTCGTTTTAGTAATGGTATTCTCTTCACTCACCTGTGCTTGTTCTTGAGGCATTTTGAAGGGAAATACATAGGGCATCATCTGCTAAAAAAAAAAAAAAAAAAAAAAAAAAAAAGCCGTATTAAAAAAACTAAATTTTGTTATTTAAAAATTTCAAGTTGCTATTTATAGATCTAGCCATATAATTTTTATCATTTGCATTACCAAGTATCTACCAAAAAAGGATGACTTATTGTATTAACTATCATTAACAAAATTTGTCTTTTTAAAATGAAATTTTCCTAATTATCTTCTCTAAAACTTGTGATGCTTTTGATTTCTGGTTATATCCAGAATAGCTGATTTTAACATAATAATAATAATAATAATAATAATAATAATAATAATAATAATATTTTTATGTGTGTGTTAAAAATCAAAGAATATAAGGAAGAACTTTCAGAATTTTATGAAAAAATTCTTGACTAGATCTCTTCTGCTTTATTCCAAAAGCTGATTCATTTTCATAGTCACATTCCATGTGCACTTCTCTTTTCTTAGGACAAGAACATTGGCCCAACTTACATGATTAGGGCCCTGCTGGGTCTGTGATGGTGCCTGAGGTTGTGAGGGGCCCAGCTGGCCAGCTTGCGCTCCTTGGGCAAAACCGACGTGTCTGGGGAAAGGTATCTGATTTGGGGATAGTCCAGCAAACTGGTCTAGAGTTGACAGTGAGAGCTGCGGCTGTCCTGGAATTCCAGCCTGCTGCTGCTGTTGTAGAAAGCCAGAGAAGCGGGGGATCCATGAATTAAATGGGCCCTGGGATCGTACCAAAGAAAGAAAGAATGTCTCTTTTAGATCAAAAAGAATTTAAAATCAGTCACAAGCAAGAAAAAAGAAAATCTAAACAATTTCTATATTTTCAATGCTGCTATACCAAAAAGGACAACATCTTGACTCATGAGCCACAGAAACAGTGTTCCATTTTTAGTGGTCATGAGAAATATGRAGCAGAAAGAGGGAGATAAAAGAGTGCCATTTCTGTACTTGCTAGACTGGATTCACATCTTGATTTTTCCTCCTTTCTCACTAGTTAGGTGGATATGACTTTGTGTAAAATAGTTAATTTAACTATCTTATAGTAGGATAATTAGTGCCTGGCATATAAGAAGTTCTCAAAAAAAAAATAAATGCTAGTTAGATTACAGTTTTTTACTTTAATCTTCAAATAAAATTAGAATATATAGAACTAGCTGGACCCAGTGGTGCACACCTGTAATCTCAGTAACTTGAGGCAGGAGGACAGCAAGTTCAAAGCCAGCCTGAGAAACTTAGTGAGGCCCTGAGTGACTTAGGGAGATCCTGTCTCAAAATTAGAAACAAAAAAGCAAAACAAAACAAAAAAACATAAAAAAGGGGCAGAGGGATGTGGCTCAGTGGTTAAGTGCCCCTGGATTCAATCCCTGGTACAAAATAAAACAAACAAATAGAAAATAATATGTGGAGCAAATTTATAACTTTTAAAATGGAAATTTTGTGGAATCAGAATATGTCATTTTGTTCTCATACAAAATGTTGAGCAGAGGAAAATGTTTTCCTTAAACTGATAATTGAGATGGAGATACCTGAAGCTGTAGTGGCAAAAACTGACCATTATTCAGATTCAGAAGTAACTAGAAAAGGAAAGAAAATATGAAAAGATTACTATACGTGGTAAAATGATTAATAACAATGTTTACTACAAATACAGTACAAGTCAGAGTTGGTTGACCAGTTCCCTGTTAGAAGTGAGATGTTATTTCCACAAAACTTATGTGCTTGAATCACAGCTATTAGAGGTTAGAGTTGAAAACAACAAGTTGGGATTTAATAACGTCATCTCTGCTGTATATGAGATTACACAATTTTATCCCAGTTCAATGGCTTAAATAGTCATTTTGTATGTCAACATACATTTGAATTAACTGCTATTAGAACAAAATATGTAGAGGATATTGTCTCTGCCTTTGCAGAACTCTCACAATTAAACAAAGGTGGGGGCAAAGCTTATTTTATAAGCAAATTTCTGTATGTAGCAAACACTAAGTTTGGAATTTATTTGGATATGCTCTTGCTAGTGGATAGGATGTAGGCTAAATCGAAAGAAGACTTTTATCTCTTCCCACTGAGGTTTTATGAAAAAAATGCAGGAGATATTGTTATTGAAACTAACCTCATTGCTATTGCTCGCAGACAAAAGGCGTTGTGGGATAAGCTAAGAATAGAAAAAAAAAAAAAGGTAAAATAAGGGATAGCCATAGGTTTACACTCTGAGATCAAGAGTAAAATGAGACACTTACCGGGGCTGAAAATGTAACTCCCAAGAGTCCAAGAAAAATTATAATTTTCATTTTCAGATGATTATACCTAGAAAATGAATTATAATACTTAATTTTAAAAATTCTTTCCTTAAAAATCATGACAAAAATAAAGTCATGACAAAATAATGATATAAAATTGTTCAATCAGAGGAACAGTTGTGCACATTCTTCAGTATTACATCTTAGGATTTAAAATATAAAAATAAATATTTATAACAGAACTCTTTCTTCTCTCTCAAATCAACTTCTTATAGAAACCAACATTGTTTGCTTGACCAACAGACTCAGTTGGTGGCATATGATGTAGTTGAATGAGTTAGTGAACAAGACGATCTCGTCCTTTTGCCGATCTACACTGGGGGACTGTGTCTATCAGAACTTGGGATGCCCATGACTGGGATCAACTAACTGGTCCTTATTAAAAAGCTCCTGACATAGCTCAAATCACTGACCTAACCAAGAGTTCAGGGTGACTTTGGTAATCTCTCAGAGCATAATTCACTGAGTTTGGTTCTGAAAGTTATGAAAGCAAAGATTTCATATCTTACCTTACTCCTGGCTTAAGAAATTTAGAACCATTCAAGATCTGTGTTCTTTTTCTCTCTCAGCTCTGTTGGTTGAAATTTCTCTTAAAATTTAAAACCCATCTTTAGGAAAAAAGAGCCAATCATTTTTAAAAGGAACCAGTGATTCAGTGGGCTTCAGACAATGGCTCAGCTAATCATCCCTTTCCTCATCATCCAGGTGGGGTACGGCTTCCCACACTTTTAGTAATGCTCTTAAATTATCCCCGAGAAATGTTTTCCTGTGATCACACCTGGATTTTCCTTGGTTATGACTAACTCTTTAAGAATGATTTTATTCTACTCCTCTTACCATCTTTAAAATGAGTATCTAATTGAATAACCTGAAGTTCTTTATTAAATTCAATGATAAATGGGTGAATATTTTTATTTTTGGAGTAAAATACAGAATTATAAAACAGAGGTCACAGGTCTAAGAAACAAAAATTCCAAAGTGTAGTTTGTGGCACTCAAGATTCTTCACAGTTTCAACACTGGGCTGAGTGAATATAAGCTAGTTTCATTTAGATTTGATTTTGAAAATACTAGTACATCTCTCTTCCCTTATGGAATAAAGCCATGAACATTTGCTAAATTTCTGTATGTCTATGAAATGTATGTTCACACAAGATTGTGTTGCTTTGAATAAATTAAATATGAAGCACTAAAAAATACTGCAAATCAATGTTTTGTATTTTTTAAAAATTCCCTTTGTTAAATATAACTAACATTCAAAATATTACTAAATATTACTACCTATATAATATCATTTAAATTTTCTTCTTAAAAGTTCATTATTTGTTTGGTTGCTGTTGATATTGATTCCACTCTTAACAGGCAGTCCATGATCACAAGTGTTGTGATAATGTATTCTCAGTTTCCATTATGAAAGAGTTATTTAGCTAATTTAATCTTGAACAATTAATTCTAGTCTTAAAATGTAGTAAAAAGTTATTGCCTTTCAATAAATGTGACTTTCTTAGAGACTTAAATTTTGTGGACTCACTCATACTAAAATGATTATACCACTTGTTATTTATCTAGTCAAAAGAAACCTCACAAGCAACCAAAACATTATTTAAAATAACAAGACCTTTTTTCTTTACTAAAAAAGAGAAGTTACCATTAGGATTTTATATCTGCTAGAAAGGAACTTTTCCAAAATTTGTGAAAGTTGTCTTTCTGAATTAAATAGTTAGAACACCCTAGATGTCGATGGCAAATTTAACTAAAGCTTGGTGCCATGACAAATTATTGACTGCAAAGTACAGCAGGTTGATTGAGTGGGTGAACTAGGCAGAAGATTTTATATTACTTGATGATGTTAATATTTGCAATAAGTGACCTGGTCTATTTTGAGTATTGTCAGTCTCTTGAGATTTCCTTTTGCATTCTGTAGGGTCTGAGGCAGCTGACCCCATTACTGAGCCAGAAAGTCATCATGGCCAAGAACTGAGCAGGTCAGGACTATGTTCTGGAGCCAAAACACAGTAAATTTAAAAATATCCTGATGATGAATAGTTTCATTTAGCTACATTCTTCAAACTGAAGGTAACTGGCAGGATTCTGTCACTGTTTTCTTTTTTGCTTTTATTTTTCATTAAAGAAAAGCAATTGAAACTCTCCATTTATATAACAATGTGGAAAAGAATAGGCTTTATTTCCAAAACTCCCTCGAATGCCACATCTGATAGCTTCCAAGTTCCTGTGTCATTAGAGGCAGGGTTATTATCTCTGGGTGGTAGGGGACATAACAAGGAGCTCTGGGTTAATTCTCATCACATTCTAATGTACATATGGTWTGTCTCTGTTTCTCTCATTAAACTATGTTGACTTTACTCATTTTTCTTTGCCTGTGTTTGTGACTCACTAGGTATTTCACTGATTTTTGTTAAAAATAAGTGATTAGATTCAGGAGAGGAAAAACAAGTGGGACATATCTAGAGTAATGTCATTCTGTGTGGAGTAAGGTGCAGGGTCCAAGATGAGGAAATCCTGAGCCAGATACACTCACCAATACTGCATCATTTTGTTTTAGTTTGATTAGCAGAACTAGACAAACTTTCATTCAAATAAAAGTACAAAGACATATTATAATGCCAAGAACATGTGACTGTTGAATTATGTACCCGTGAAATTATCCATATCTTTGCTCTGTTCCAATAACAAAAAATGACAAAGAGTAAGCAGTAATGGCTTATGTTAATCCTTTCAAAATGTTACCTTTACTTTTTTCCCCTTTATCCTAATGATAATTGAATTTAAATTTTAGCACTGCTTATAATAAAAACAATTTTCTTGTATATAAACGGATTCTCAGGAACTTCTGATAACATATATCACCTTATACAGGCAAGATACATATATCACCTCTGTTTCCATGAGAAAACTGAGGTACAGGAGGTTAAATGACTCCATTCATTTATTTATTCATGCAACAAATGGTTATTGTGCCAGCTCATATCTCTGCTAGGCATTGAAAACTTAGTATTAATAATAATATATGTAGTTTCTACCTCCATGGAAATTATTATTTTTCCATAGTCAAAAAAGTACCAGAATTATGGTTAGAATTCAGGTCTCTTGATTCTTAATCAAGTAGTATTTCTAAGGTATTAAGATACATAACTTGAAAGGAAGTGACATAGTATCATGATAAAGAAAATTAAAAACTTAAAAAAATAAATGATAAAAATGTTCTTAAATATTGCCAGAGATGAACTGTGAATCTCAACTCATGAGATCAATAGGTTTGGGGTCAAGAATTATTTCATTAATAACTTATACAGTAAACCAGAGATTAGATAAGCAAGCTTTCAACCTAAACTCTTCTATTACATGGGTGTTTATGCTTAACTACTATGAGACTTTACTGAAGTACCCTCATCAGTTTGAGATTGTGAGTACTGGACATTAATTATCACAAGTTCACTAAGATTATACACTCTAGATAAATGTTTCTAGCTTGATTATATTAATCTAGTTTTATTTTACTTAGGATTTTGTAGATATTTGCATGTAAATTATGACTCTCAGGTGTTTTTCTAGGAGTAGCATTTTTAACAATACAGATATTAAGAAAAGTAAAGTATTATGCTTTTTTGTTCCTTTTACAGAAGGACCCATGAGTTTCTGAGGACTTGAGAGAGGCCAGCAATAGCCAAATTGAGTCACAACCCCATATTTCTGCTACAAGGATAACGCAACTCAAACAGATAACTCAAAACAAAACCGAAGCAAAAATTAAACAAAAATGGAACAAAAAATCGTTGTATCAATTTTCTCTTCCTCAGGGCCGAACAACTTCAAACCTTGAGCCAACCATTTTTCCCAGTTTGCCTGAGAAAGTTCTAGGGATAGGCAGCTTGAAACAAAAACAAAATAAATCAAACAAGAACACATTGTTTTTTGAAATGGTCACCCATTCTCTCGCTCTTCCTCAGGGGCGAGCAATTTCACTTACCCCCAAGATTCAGGTGTTCCCCGTATAGGCCACCAAATGCCGCAGTCTGGCTGGGCATAAAATCAGGAGCCACTCAAGCAGGAACAAACTTTATTTCCAAAACTCCCGGGAATGCCACGAGCACGGGGCCTTCTCCCGGGACACACCACACCAACAGGAAATCCCTTCTCCGGAAATCCCTCCTACCACACTTCCCCAACCAATGGGAACTCTCCAGGAGTCCCATGAGAGCTCCAAAGTAGCAGGCCCAGGCAGACAGCAGGGGTCCAATATCCAATTGAATGCACATCTTAACATAATCATTATCATCTCAATGGCTTGCTGGCATCACCTTTCAACCAAAAATGCCAGGCATCATTCCTACTCAGCTATGGCTCTTAGCACTGCTTGTGGATCCCTTAAGTGTGGCAAGCAGAGCATTTAATGGAAGGCACAGTCTGTTTGGAGTAGCTGTCCTGGCTTGACCATACGTCAATTACAACCTTCTCTGAAAATCACCTCTTTTATCCCCTGGCCTGAAATACTCTCTTTTCCCTACTAAACTTTTGTGTTATTTATTTATTTATTTATTTATTTATTTATTTATTTATTTATTTATTTATTTATCTATCTATCTATCTATTTATTTAGTGAATTTCAGACCTGCCTTGCATGTTTGCTTTTGGGCCTGTGATTAGTTTGCCCTCAATCCTGTTTCTATACTTACAATGTCCAGAAAAACAAAACAAAACCGTAGACAACTTTATTTCAACTAAAATCTTACAGTTCCAGTAAATCAACTTTTTTAGATTGATGTCACGAGAGAGGGAATGCACAATGTTTGGCTAATTTCTGGTATTCTTCTCCTTCTCAGACCCATCTAGTCATGGGACTTTCTTGTGAATTTTCAGTGGAACCCAGTGGGACCTGGAGGCCAGTCTGCCTTAGTTCTCCCCTAGAATTCTAGTGTGCCCCCATTTTGGTACTTGAAACCTATCTCTTTAACAAGAGGTTATATTTTCTGA